GTGATCCTACTTACAAACACCATTAGAAAAAATCATTCTATTCATTAAGAGAATGCAACTATATATCTATCCCAACCACTTTGAATACACAGATACATGTGGGTAGATTTTTAAAGGGAGCTTTTTTATTTTTTACTTATTTATTTTTGTCTTTATTTTTGGTGCCAAGGACCAAACCCAGGCCTTCCACCTTGCTATGCAAGTATTCTACCACTGAGCCAAATCCTCAGCCCCAATGGGTAGATTTTTGTCTTTTTAATTACTGAATCTCTTATTTGGCATACAGGTTTATTCAGGATTTCAAAACTTTCCAGAATGATTTTCAATAGTTTCTAGGAACTTACCCATTTTATCTAAGTTATCCAATTTATTCTTATATAGTTGTACATAGTATTGTATCACTTTGATTTTATTTTTTTAATTAAATTAAATTAAATTAAATTTATTTATTTATTTATTTAGTGTGTGTGGCCTATTTATTTATTTATTTAGTTAGTTAGTGTGTGTGGCCAGTTCAGCCCACCAGGGGGCGGGGCTGGCTGGCATGTGGTGCTGGGGGATTGAACCACGGTCCCTGTGCTTTGCTTAGCTTAGCTTGTTCTAAGTAGGTGCTTTAGACCACTGAGCCATCTCACCAGCCCATCACTTTGATTTTAGTAGAGTTGTTTTTCTTGGTTTTGATGAAGGTTTGCCATTTTGTTGATCTTTTTTAAAAAATCAACTTTTATTTTCTCTATTTCTTTCCTATTGTGTTTAATTTTAACCCTAATCTTTATTACTTTCTTCTACTAGTTTTGGGTTTAGTTCATTCTTCTTTTTCTAGTGTTCTATAGTGAAGGTTAACAATATGAAATCTTTCTTTTTTTCCTTCTTTATCATAGACATTCATAGCTACTATATATTTCCTGTTACTGCTTTAGATTCATTCCATAAGTTCTATCTTCACTTTTATTAATAAAGTGTTTTTCTAGTTTCCTTTTTCATTTCTTCTTTGATCCAATGATTATTTTGTAGTATGTTAATTTCCATGTATTTAGTAAAATCTTCAAATGTCTTTGTATTACTAATTTTTTTCTTTTTTTGGCCTTTTTGACACAAGGTCTCACTATACAGGATTTTTTTTTTTTTTTAATGTATTTAATACAGGGTCTCACTACACAGAGCAGACTCATAATGACTCTCCTGTTTTCAGCCTCCCAAACTCTGGGATTACAGGCACACACCACCACGCCCAGTCTCAATCCCGACTCAGCGCGCCTCAGGAGGAGGGCCAGCACGACAGATACACCACCACTATGCAGTTTTTAGGCTGGCCTTGAGCTCACTTTGTAGCCCAAGCTGGCCTCAAACTTGCAATGATCCTCCTGCCTCAGGCTCCCAAATGCTGGGATTACAGGCATGTGCCACAACACTTGTGTTATATTACTAATTTTATTCCACTGCAGTTAGAGAACATACCTTTAATATTTCAATTCTTTAAGCTTAGTGAGGCTTGTCATGTATTCTGTCCTGGGGAAATGTTCCATGTGTACTTCAGAATGATGTGCATTCATTCTACTGTTGTTGAGTGAAACAGTATTGTACCAATGCAGAACAGCATTCTATAGATGTCCATTAGTCTAGCTGGTTAATATGGTTAAGTTCACTCTCCTTGTTGATCTTCTACTAGTTGTTCCATCTATTATGAAAGTAGACTACTGAAGGATCCAAATTATTGCTGAATTGTCTATTTTTCCCTTCAATTTTGTCACATTATGTCACATTTTTCAAGCCTTAGCTTTTCACTAAATGCTAAGGGATAAGACAGGAACATGGCACATACTGATAGCAGATTCAAGAGGTGAGATGATGTCCACATAGAGAAGCACATTCACTCTGGGGTGCTCTCTTCTTTTTTGTTTTATTTTTGCAGTACTGGGAATTAAACCCAGGGTCTCATGCAAGCCACTGCCCTATACCACCAGTGCTTTTCATTTTTGAGACAGGATCTCACTAAATTGCCCAGTCTGGTTTCAAACTTGCAATCCTCCTGCCTCAGCCTTCCAAGTAACTAAGGATACAGGTACAAGCCATCATAATTGTGACTAGTTTTCCACAGAAACAGTAACCTGATCTGATATGAAAAAAGGCAGCTTGGACCCAATGAGTAACATAATCCCCTAAATGGTAAGAAGGAAATTAATTAGAACTGTATAATCTACTTGAAACTGAAAAAGACTAAAGACTAATCCAAAGGATTAGGCATTGGCCAATCCCAACACAATCTGCAAATATTCATCAGTGAGTAGATTATTGTTAGGAAGAGCAGAAATTGAAAATGCCCCTCTGAACTCCAAATGTTCTTAAGAACACTCTGCTGAACAACCTTCATAAAAGTGCCTATTTGTATTTACACTTATTCTAGCTGAGGTTTGTTTATTTAGTTATTTTAATTGAGGTTTATTTTTTGTTTTTGGTGCTGAGGACTGAACCCAAGGCTAGGCTAGCACTCTACCACTAAGCTAAATCCCTAGCCTCCATACTTATTCTTAGACATCTCATTACTTAGCAGAACTACTGTAAGAAACAAGCCTTAAAGAAGTATGTAGTGATAAAGCAACTTTTCAGCACTGTCAGGATTAATGGTTCTCCTGTATAAACAGACTAACTGCGATTTGCAAAGATGCCCTAAAATATCTACTTGTCCTACATTCTACTACTACCTAAATTACATGACTTCATTATTTATATTGTTTTATGAAACATTTATGAAAGTTGCCAAAAAAGTACATACATACACTTACATGGAATATTAAGAATGCAATTTAAAGTTACAAGATATTCAGCTGTGGTATCTTTATTTTTGATAAAACAGATCAACTATTCAGGTATAAATTCTATAAAATATAAAGTTATCAAACAAAAGTATATTATATATATATATATAGAATTCGCTTGCTTTACATTTTCGATAAAAATAAAAATTGATGAAAATAAAAAACTATTGTTAACTATGAGAATGTACAAAATTGCTTTGATGATGAAAGAAAATATAAATTACAAACTAGAATTATTGTCCCATATTACAGTCAAGAGTGATAGTTTAAGTGTGTACATACATCTGCTTGACCTCCTCTCGACTGTGTTTCTGCCAGTCTTCAAGGTGTCCTTGCCTGTGTGCTGTAATTTTGACTGGTTCTGCTGATGATCATTAGACAACTTGCCTCCATTTCTCCTGCCATTCATCACCATGTTCTTGGATTCTCCCAACCACTTCATACCCACAGACAGCCTGACCCAGGTGCATTTAGTCACTCTCTTCAAATAGCTTAGAAAATAATTTCAATGTTCTCTCCTAATGGAAACAAAACATGAAGAACAAAACAAAATGAGATAAATACATGAAAAACCATGCTAACTAGAAACCTAAGCTCTTATGAAAGATACATATAATTTAGATTTAGTAAGTAATGTCTCCATTCTTCTAAAGGCCACCTTGCCATGATCCTTCTACCCTCCGCCATTGCCATGATACCATGTCATGCTCAGGACTACAGCTCTTCCAGGCTCTACGGTAACACAAAGACTTATTTGTTCCTTGTGCTTAAAATAGTTGACTCACAAATAGTGGAAGGTCATTAATTAGTTACCCTTTTTAGGTACCAATCAATAAGAACCACCTTTGTTCCTTACTATGCTGATATCTAGGTAGAAATCTATAACCTGTTCAAATTACATGTTTTGGTAAGGCTCTATGAGCCCTGTGAGTAAACTGTAAGGCAATTATTCTACCTTCTATATCCCAAGGAAAAGTTTAGGATAAGAGACCTATCTCAAGTTTTGTTTACCAGGAAAAGGGACAATGTTAAGTTAACTATTCACTACTTACCGCATAAAGAAACCTATAAACAAAATCTAGCAAAGGGGCCAGAGTAAAGAAAGTAAAGGACTTCACATCTTTTTTGGGGCTAGTCTGAAGTCACTTCTAAAGAATTTGAAGAACTAATATTCAGGTATCAAAGTAATGTATACTTGGAAATATTTGCCTTACTGTTACTATACAATGGCCACAAAACTGAGAGACTGGTGTATATGTATTTGGTAATATACAGATATACCTTGTTACTTTTTTTTTTCTTTAATGTATTTGGTACAGGGTCTCACTCTGCAGCTCAGACTCATAGTGATCCTCCTATTTTCAGCCTCCCCAGCGCTGGGGTTACAGGTGTGTGCCACCACGCATGCCCTGTACCAGTGGCCGGCTCAGTACACCCAGGCAACAAAGCATGCAGCACTGATCAAACCCTGCACTTGCCAAAGCAGGCGCTCAATCCACTGAGCTACCTCCCCTGCTCTTCATTACGTGAATTTTAATTGGTTGAATTTGAGAAAAAGATGGTATAGGTAGTGAGAGGATTCTTATAATTTCAAATGAGGGTTGTTCCTTTTTTTTTTTTAAAATGACAGTTGTTCCTAATGCAATTAGAAAAATGATGTCCCTGATATCATTCCATTATGGAATTATGCCCTAGTCTTAAGTCAGAATAAAAAGGTCCTAAAATATGAACATATAGGACCTGAGAGCCAAAAGGATTATGGATTACAACCACATCTTTCAACTTACAAATGAAAGTGGGGTCACATTTCCACTGCTACACAATCAGCCTGCAGCACAGATTTAATTACAACCCAGCACTGTTGCCAATGGATCTTTCAATTATATCAGATGTCAATTTCCCTTACTTTTCCACAGTCTCACGGAAAAAGTACAAATTTTGGTGCTGAGCATTTAACCCAAGACCTCACACATGCAAAGTATATTCTACCACTGAGTTACACCCCCATTCCATGAAATAAATTATACTGAAATACTCCTAGAAATGCACAGCTAAACATGGAGGCATAATGATAACTCAATACAGACACAAAATATTTTTTTACTTGACCTCAAGACTGTATGGATTTATTGTAGGATAAAATGTGCATTAAACAACATGCTCAGATAAAAGGTAAAAGATATCTGAATGGTGTTGAGCACAGTTTAAAAGTTTTTAATATGTACTTTTCTCCTAGATCCTTTTCTTTTTAAATTTAATTAGTATTTAACTTTGTCTTTTGTTTCTCTTAATCCTACAGGTATGCTGCTGTTTAACTTAATGGAAAGGCTAAGTATAACTATATCACATATAAGCTAAAGATTACTGAAATATTAAATTTTGCCAAATTTAATGCAAGACTGCTTACTGATGATCAAGTACTCTACATGTATTTATATTTAGGGAAAATGGCACAGTACTTAAGAGCAGTATGCTTGTGAAGCATCTAGACCAGGAAAATGTGAAAAAAAACACCACCAATACCCTCTCTTACACCTTTCTCCTCCGCCTTGACTATTACAACATGTCTTTTTTCTTTTCTTTTTTTTTTTTTTGGTGGAACCAGAGATTGAACTCAGACCTTCGCACTTGCCAGGCAAGCACTTATCCTACTGAGCCATCTCCCCTGCCCCTTCTTCTTCTTCTTTTTTTTTTTTGGGGGGGGGGGTCTGGCTAATTACTGTAAGCCCTAGCTCAGTATTTAGGTCCTCCATGAAGTTTTTCTTTACTCTCACTACCAAATTCAAGTTGCATGTCCCTACTATAAAACTTAGGTGAAAGCCCTTAGGGTCACTATTTTATTAACTAATCATCTGCTTTTTCAATTTATAGAGAGCTTCTGAGGTCAAAAATTCATTTTTCTTATCTCTAGTATAACACATAGATCAGACACATTCAATTAGTGAAAGAATAAATTAGGTTGTGGTTTAAACTATTATCACAGAAACTCAATTTCTTTATTTTTCTTGAAACTATAAATTAAAATTATTGCCTGACATCTTCAAGTCCTCTTTCTCAAGATGATCACTGTGCTGAGGGCAGCAAGAGAAATTATTGCACAGATATACAGAACTGGTAGGATTCACAGCTGCTGTCACCTTGCTACTACTATGCTCCTGTCTCAGCTCCTAGTTCTAGACCTTCAGAGAAAAAGCACAAGGAGAAGGGAAGGTGCTTCTTTACCTTCTCCTTAGAGAATGCCCCATATGAGATACACTCATGGATAATGACTGAGGTTATTTTTCTAATCTCTAGGAGTCTTAATTTTTCTCAATAATAAAACATAAAGTAGAACTATTTGGAATAGAAAAGAGAAAGAAACCCAACTTTAGGTAAAAGTAAGAGACCCAAGAAACAGCCATCTATAGAGAATCAAGATTTCCACTCAGCATACACAAAGGAGAAAATCCAGGGATGAGTCAATAAGCAATGAGACCTGCAAGCAGTGAAAACTTTAGTCTGAGAGCTATTACTCTAAATTACTTATTCATTCATTTAGTTATCTGTTAGGGTAAAGAACAGATGCTGAAGTTTTGTGTTTTTTTGTTTTTGTTTTTATTTTGTTTTGTTTTTCCAGTAACAGGGATTTAACTCAGCAGATGCCAAATTTTTAAGAAAAATTATGTAATAGAAAGATTACTTTGAGGAAGTTTATATATCAAGAGGAAGTTTATCTATCAATTTAACATTTTCTGAGAATTAGAAGTTTATCAATAAATCACTTCAGCAGGGCCATGGAGATAATTTAGTGGCATAAGTGCCTGCCTGGCAAATGCAAGGTCCTGAATTCAATCCCTGGTTACCCTCTCCCCCCCCCAAAAAAAAAAAAAAAAAAAAAGAATCACTTTAGCAGTAGCAGATGTAAGCCCAGTTCACAGAACACAGACTGAGATACCCTTAAATTTATCCATAACTTCAATGAAATATGGATTAATGATCCAACCTATGTCTTGAGTCTCTTTTATATTGTAATCAACTATTGTTTGAACTGAAGATTCCCAAATGTAATGGTGGTGAAACTATGGCACACATGCCAAAGCTAGCTGTTTGTTATCACTAAAAGTTCTGTAAAGTTCACCATCACCGCCTTAGTGTAACAGACACTCCTGCCAATCATGGAATGAAGCTGAATTTCACTAGCGTGAATGTAATTTACATGTGTCCAGGCACAGCCTAGCAGAAATATTTAATTTTGTACATGATTATAAAACAACAGTGGTTAAGAAAAAAAGACTATGTAAGTTCAGAAATGAAAATTCTAGGGGCTGGTGAGATGGCTCAGTGGTCTAAAGCACCTACTTAGAACAAGCTTAGCAAACCACAGGGGCCGTGGTTCAATCCCCCAGCACCACATGCCAGCCAGCCCCGCCCCCTGGTGGGCTGAGCTGCCCCCCCCCAAATAAACAAATAAAAGAAAAGAAAAAGAAAATTCTATAAAAGCTGTTCTAATAAAGCCATCAGTAATTTGGGGGTTATTTATAAAATTTTAGCTCAAAATGAATATATTCTATACTAATAATCAGATCACTTGTTCTGCCCAGATGAGTGTGGGTATGTTTTTGCAGGGGTAATCTTTCCTCATAGCACTACAAAAGCTAACCAAAGTCTGCACAAGTGTAGACTAAAAGGAAACAAGAGTCAAAGACATCCATTGATAGCAAAGCTGAAAGGTTTCAGGGCTACCACAGTCCTCCCTTCTCCCATCTTCAGGAGTACAATCTTTCTGCCAAAGAACACAGCAGATTCACATGGAAATGTCTCCAGGGTCTTGGATTGGTTGATAGTATCTGAATGCCACTGGCTATATTTAGATGTAAAATTCACTTCAAATTTATGCAAAAACTGACAGTTACTCATTCACTGGTTTGGTGATATTAGGGACTGAACCTAGTATGTAATGAGCTACAGCCCCAGCCTTTTTAAAAATTTAGACCTAGTCTTGTCAAGTCCCTAAATTGCCAAGGCTGGCTCTAAAAAATGAGATTCTCCTACCTCTGCCTCCCTCCACCTTCCAGAATACTGGAAGTTTCTACTCATTGCCACCACTTCCAGCTAGGAAATAAATAAATAAATAAATAAATAAATAAATAAATAAATGAGTACAGGCCATGCCAAGTGGCACAACAGCTACAATTTTTCTCTGTTCTGATTTCCCAATATACAAATGTCAGGAAAATCAGTAAGACATCTACTTGCACTTCAGATATAAACACGGAAGCTACAGGGAAGAACAAAACAAGGTTTCTGCCCTCATCTGTGCTTATACAGGTATTCTAATGGGAAACAAAATAATAAATTAGTAAATAACTTATTAATAAATAATTAAGTAAATATCAGGACCCTGGGGAAAAATAACAGTTTATAGTGGTAGAAAATGTTCTCATGCAAGGATTGATGAGGCTCTTTTCTAAGAAAGCTAATGAAGGTGAATGGTTCTGGGAAAGCATGCAGCAGGCACAGGGAGAGTGAGCACCAAGTC